ACCGATTGCTCCGATTGCTCCCCCATGAAATTTTGTAAACTGTATTTATGAAAAAGAACTGCACAGATGCATCAATCTATTCAATCTATTGATAAACACACACATCGTCCTCTGTTTCTCGCTCTGTGGATTGAAGAACTCGCTGAAAGACAGGGCGGAGCCCAAGTCTGCCGCTGTTTTCATATGAAATTTAAAGGGGACTGAGGCGATCATGAATTTGTGTACAGTTTATGGAGCTAATCACAACATTTTTAGGGGGGCCGAGTAGAAATTAAGGGGGACTAAAGCCCTCCTAAAAATGGCCTAGCGACGCCCATGGTCAGAAAGCTCTCGGATTTCATAAAAAATATCTTAATTTGTGTTCAGAACATGAACGAAGGTCTTACAGGTTTGGAACGACATGAGGGTGAGTAATTAATTACAGAATTTCCATTTTTGGGTGAACTGTCCCTTTAAAGACTATTTAGTGGCTTTCGCACTGCGTAGTTCTAGGAACTAGCCAGCATGGTGGTTCCTAGAGAACCAATTTTCCTGGTTGCCATTTTCCTGGTTGCATTCACCAGGAACAGCATGCACTCTGAAGTGGCTGACGGCGACGTCTTTTTATTCACGGCATTTACAAACGTTAACAACTGGTGAAAGGAGGATGCCATGATGAAGCTGTTTTTGTTGTTGTCGTGGGTTTAGTGATAACTGAGATGGAATGTAAACACACAATTTACGCGATTGAAAGAGCATGAAAATCTGACTAAATCTTTTATGACAACTTGCAGTGTTACAAATCATCGAGGCTGAGAAAAGAACACGACGCTGCAGACAACAGGTAGCTAAATGCCGCTATCGCTGTGTTCGTGGAGTAAATATTTTTACATTGATTTTTAAAAATGCTGGGTAGCCAGTGTTTCGTATGTGTTTGGCCAGTCAGTGTACACTTACGTGACTGGTAGTTCCTATAGAATTGTTTTAGACCCTACTCTGGAGTAGGAGCTAATGTAGTTCCCCCAAACAAAGTTCTTAGAACTCAATACGTTCCTAGTTCCTGCGTTGTGTACACGTCAAAAAGCAGGTACCTCCTATGAAAAGTTTCCTCCTGTGCAAAAGCCCCTTTTGATACAATTTCTAGTGGACAATATTTCTAAGCCAGCAATCAATACCAGCTTGACAATGTAAGTAAAATGAGGTTCTGCAGGGATGTCTAATCCTGCAGAGTTTAGCTCAAACACATCCGCATGAAAGTTTCTAGTGATCCTGAAGACCTCCATTAGTTGGTTCAATGTGTTTAAAGTAGGACTGGTAATTTAACGTGTTAATTACATGAATTAATTACAGTGAAAAATAACGTGTTATAATTATTAATACATTTAACGCACTTGCCCCGCCCCAGACCTATGTGGGTCATCTGACATTTCATACAGCTGATTGATGACAAATATGAGGCAGGGCAACAACTTGCTGCGTGATGGAGCCTAGAGAACATAGTTAGAATGTCCCTAATAGTGATATCCGGTTCGCGAACGAATCGTTCGATTTAACCGGTTCTTCTTAGTGAACCGGTTGAACCAGTTCACCAAATCGGACTGAATCGTTTGAAACGGTTCGCGTCTCCAGTAAGCATTAATCCACAAATTACTTAAGTTATTTACTTTTTTAACGTGGCTGACACTCCCTCTGAGTCGAAATAAACCAATATCACGGAGTAATTCATTTACTCAACCAGTACACTGACTGAACTGCTATGAAGAGAGAACTGAAGATGAACACGAGCAGTGCAGCATGTGTGCAGCGAGCCGGATAACGAACGTACACGCCCACTGCTGGAGCGGTTCTCATTCTCGAGTCAAGAACCGGTTGCATCGGTTTTCGGATCACCAGTACACTGAACCGAGAACCGTTTCTTTCGGACATGTCCGATTTGAGAACTGATGAGCTGATGATACTGTGCATGCATGTAATTTTTCAAGAGGACGAAAAGCAAAAATGCCCCTGTTTGAGTTTTTGTCTCATATTTACATATGGTTAAGCAATATCACACGAGCAATAAGTGCAATATCACACGAGTGCAAATGTGATACCGATCTTATACAACAGAAAATGTCCCTGAAATTCAAGATATGGGGCAAAAATGCCCGTTTGAGTTTTTGTCTCACATTTACATCATATAGTTAAGCAATATCACACAAGTGCAAATGTGATACCAATCTTATACAACAGTACAATAAATAAGAAGTTAATATTGTGTTATTTTAGACACAATGTTGTTTGTTTTGCTCAATTTTGCCAACGAAAATATAAAGCAGAACGGTTCGTCTCTGAGCAACACACAGTGGCATTTCATTTCTTAATGCACGTTTGAACGCATTGGGTGAATCATTAGGCGCGCAATCATTAAGACATTTACCACCACCTACTGGCAGTTTTAGTTTATTATTTAGATTATCATTTTATTAAAGAAATAATTCCATATTTCCATAGTAATAATAATAAAATTAATAAAATAAATTATTAAAGGTATAGTTCACCCACCCAAAAATGACAACTGTGTCATCATTTACTTACCCTCATGGTCCAAAAGAGTATATGTAATACATTTTATCAAACAAAATATTTTTTTGCTGAAGCTACTTTTTGTAATGTCTGTTTGATGCTTTATACAACAAGGACTTAAAATTATATTTTTGGAGTAATTTCTCAGCCAAATTTGATGTGCGATTAATTAATCGCCACATCATGTAATTAATTAGATTTAAAATTTTAATCGCTTACTAGCCCTAGTTTAAAGCTTAAGGGCTAAAGCTAAACTTTGCTCGAATGTGGCCCTTCAAGAGTTGGATTGGAAACTCCTGGGTCCCTGCAATACTTCTGGTTTCCCCTTATCCATCCTTGATGGTTCTAGGACAACATTCCTATCAACCAATCAGTTTTTAGGATTAAGGGTTTGACAACATTTTTATCAACAATAATTTCCCATTTGAGATCAGGACTTGAGAGTGTACTTGGGGTTTTGGATAAGGTTTGGCTGTTATATATTTTGTTGATCCAGGAGCTTGTCCAACTTGGTTAAATCACATTGCGCAACTATATCCTTCTTTAATTCTTACCTTACTGTGGGTGGCGTCATGGGTCAGTTCCGAGCTATAATCTGTCAACGAGGGAAGGATTGGTGGGGCTAATCCCAGGATATGCTCCAGAGAGGAGTTCTGTTTGGTATAGGAGGCGTAATAAGTGGGTGCGACCTTTGGCTGCTGCTGCTGTTTCTGATAACCCTGCTGATAGGATGAAGACGAGGCCATGGCTCCCTGAAACTGACCTACATCCCCAGCTGTACTGATGTTCATCGTAAACTCCACCCCTGAATTGTCGGTTATATTGTAATCAACATGTGTACCCACTGTTTGTGTGTGCGCCAACTGGCCATTGGGAAAACATGGTCCATTTGTGACCAACTGGTCTGTGAAGTTGTATCCATGCCACTGGGGATCATTGTAGACCCCGTTTGGAGGGGTATCACTACCCACAGCTGTTTTTTGTTTATACTGGAATGGGTCAAGCAACTGGTTGTGCTGCCATTGCTGTGATTGTGCTTTACTAGTTCCTGTTATCTTGTCACCAAGTTGAGAGTTCAAGTTCACTTGTATGTGTTCAGAGACCCAGTGGCCATTGTGTACAGCTGGTACCGGGTTTACCAACAAAGTATCATGCTGGGTAAATGTAGTTGTCTCAGAGTCTGTTGTAGACACCTGAGGTATTGGTGCCTGGATCCATCTCTCAGTTTTGTGGCAAACTGACTGGCCATTGAGATGTTGCTGCATACGCTGTGAGAGATGAACTATGGGTGTTATCTGTTTTTGTGGCCAGAAAGGTACATGAGGATCAGGCATGGATGAAGTAATCTGAGAAGCTGACTCAGAAGCAGAACATGGCTCAGGGGGTTCAACAGAATCTAATGCCACAGCAGGGTTTTGAGCATCCTTTGAGTCCTCGATCCGGTTCTCCAGTGAGTCTTGGATGTAGGAAAGGATTTCGTTGTTGGTGAGAAGATCGTTCAGAGATGGGACGTAATCCGCTTCCATCTCTACCTGGATCATCCTATCATCCAGAAGCAGCAATTCTAGGTCCTCTGCATTGAGTCCAAGGTTTTCCAGGGCAATGAATAGCTCACTGTTGGAGCAGCTTTCCTCATTTTCCAGGGACAGAGAGTCTAATGTTGCCAGTAGTGGGTCAAAACTTGATGGCTCCTGTTTGGAAACTGCAGTTACACGATTCTGCGCTGGATTCCAACTTTCATTTTCGACAGAAGAAGAGAAGGTATTAGTCTCTACTTGCTCACTGAAGAGGCTACTGTGGAATGACAATCTAGGCTCCATAGCAGGTTGGCAAACATAAACAGACTCGTCTTGTCTCATCATGGCTCCCAGCAGAGAACTTGGGTCCAGATCATCCTTTGAACTTTTGTCCACCTTGCTCTTTTTGGTTTTGTTGTTCTTGCTTTTGCCTTGAAGGGTGTCAGGGAAGCCTGGCATGGGGTAGCTGATTTGGTACAGCAGAGCTTCTCCAGTAGCAAAGGTGAATGGAAGATGCATAGATCGCTTCCTCAAATGCTCTCCGCCCTCTTCTTCTCTGAATAAATGGATAAAAACCTTGTCAGTGGATATGTAAGGACTTTCATCAAAATCTTGCTAATTTGCCATGCTATTTAACAGTTAGCATGCTAATAAACTAAATCTATATTTTGTAAATTGTTAGTGCAGAAATATAAATGAATATTAGCCTTAATATGCTTACACAAGCGGCCTCTGGGTGGCAATGATGTAGTCAGGCTTGCCATTTTTGTAGACGAGTCTAGCGTTAGCTTGTACCCATTTCCAGCGGTTGTCCTTTGTAAGCAGTCTAAACACAGTCAGGCCGCTTTCTCCAGTCTTGATCACTACAATAGACAGTGCAACAGTTTGTAAACCCAGTTATTAGTTGAAATATACAGACCAGATTTTTCTGCCTTGTACCTTTTTTCTGCTATAGGCTGTTGGCTCCATATTGAATTACTAATTTTATTGGATTTACTGGCTCTAGTTCTACTCCTAACGTCAAAGATTTATCCAATCTCCTCCATAATCTATGGGATTATAGGAAAATATTCCTTCTCCTGTCTCTTGCTGTCTGTCTGTCTGTAAAATCTGTCTGTCTCTCTTTCTCCACTTCTTGCCGTAGACCACCATAAAAAAAATCTGAATTCACCAAATCCATTCAAGTCCTGCCCACACAATTGATATTATCAGTCAATTTCACTTCCTGTCATAACATCTATGGATTATCTCCTGTGAACCACACTGAATAAGAGTACTGTCATTGTTCAAGCATTTGCCTAAGAGCACAGTGCTCATGTCTTTTAGTGTCACTAGTTTATTTTAGAAACCATGCCTTTGGCAACAATGTCAGCATGCATCAGCAGAAAGACAGCTCATCATAGCTATTTCTTAATCTTCTCGTAATTCAGTCAATCATATTATTAGTTATGTAGCATCTTAAAAACCACTTCTTTAGCTGGACTTTTTTAAACAGTACAACTCCAAAATGACAAATCTGAAGAAATATGAAAAATCTTACTCCTGACATGGTTCTCAGCACAATACAGCATATCAGCTGCATGGATGAACTGGTACCCAGAACCTCGAACTCGCAACTCTGCCTCGGTGTAGCCAAGAACGATTTTACCCCTAAAAAACAGGCAAAATCAACATCAGTGATTCTTACACCATTTTCTATTGTACTTATGGAGATATAAACATATGTATACAGTGCATGTTACAACTCTTTCAAAAGAAATGTCCATCATTACTTAGCATCACAGGCCATAGGGGTGAAGTCCAACTTGTGTTTGGTTCTGAAAATCATGTTCTTGGTTCGGATCTCCATTATGGAAGGAGGCTGTAGGGGTGTCGCTATGGCAAACAGGGCGAGCTGGGGCGGCATTTGGCCTCCGTCATCCAGTTGCCTGTTCTGCCCATGCAGGAATTTCAGACGTCCTTGAAGATTCAGGGCCTTGATGGGGCATAAATAAAAATAAACATTGGAATAGCTCCTATACAAAAAAAGCATAACTGTGGAATTTAGTTTAAATTTGGAATTTAAAAACATCAACTTCAAACTACACAAAATCTAATAATAGAATGTTTCAAATTGTTGCAACTGCAACAAAAAAAGCAAATAAACAAGAATAATAAAATTATGACATATAGAACAAACAAAAAATCATGTCATAATCCATTTGCATGAAGGACGTATAACCGACACACGTAACATATGTACATACACAGCTGGAGCTGATGATTTTGTTGGCGTGCCCTTGGCGAACCACATAATTTGTCTCTGACTCATTGTGGGCAATAGAGCTCAATCCAGGTCATCTATAAATGAAGGCTATGACCTGTCCAGAATGTGTCATATCTGAATGTTTGCTTGTTTGTGATTAGTTAGTCAAACTTAGACCATCTGTTCTAACTGGTGGAGATTACAACATCTAAAAGTGAGTGTTTTATGTATGTTAGCCATGATTAATTTAGTGTCACTTATGAATATGCACAAACATAAAACTACAATACACATTTTGTGGCTGGAAAGCTCTCTTGACAACCTATTTTTTATAATCGTTTCATTTCTGGGCTATCTGTTCATTTTGTGTAATGCCTGATTTAAAATAGTTCTGCTTATGTAAGGCTACACAACAAGTGTCTCAGTTCGGCAATGACTTCCCGAAACATTAATACAGAGACACGCATTCACATACACAAACAGAAAACATTTGTCAAACTGTATTTCATTTGGCGCAAATAAAAACGAAGCTTTCAGCATGACTTTCCGAGTTGGGGGGCGTGTCAATTAAATAATCACAGAGGAAGCTAATTGGCCATAATTATGTTTTCATTGTGAACCTCCCAAGATAACTTAATGGTTGCATTCAAAAATGCCAAGAGGACAACAAACAAAAAATACGCAATAGAAAAGAGTTTGAAGTTGCTCATATTTTTAACTCATGCTAATGAATTTCTCTGAGCACATGGGGAGACCCCTGTTAGCGGTCCGCTACTGACAAGCTAAGTGTAGTCATGCTATTCTTGAGGGAGATGGATTTGGTAAAGATGGAGTGGAGGGGAAAGAAAGTAAAAGAGAGAGACTGAAGAAATAAAGGGCAAGAGTACAGAGCTTTGCACGCATACGTATCTCTTCACTACTGTGTTGCCAAGATTAGCAAAGAAAGAGACAGCTGTCTGGCTGGAGAATGAATAGGAAAAATACTTTTGGAATAAAGACAGCTGAAGGAGTTGGTGGCCACTATTGTGCCTCATACTGTAGCTAAAGCCTGGCTTTCTTCAAATTAGCTTTAATTTATGCTAACAAGAACTGGTTCTCACTATTTTGCTCTATTTCTTCTAGGACAAATTAAAACCTGTTCCCCATGACCTTACTGCTCCTTTAAGATGGATTACAGAGGTGTTCCAACAATTCAGATCTCTGTGGATGCCAGAGGCGCAATCCAACACAAAGTCAGCTGCGCTAACCTAGATGCTAACTCACTCTGTAATCTGGAACATCGGGGCTTAGAGACTTTGAATAGCAAGATATTTTCCATCATACTAATATTAAATTCCAAGAGGACTTCTAAATCAGTCGAAGTACGACGTTCCTGTGTAGTTTTTGAGCGCTTTAGCTGTTTGACACTGACCAGGAATCCTGAAGAATTGTCTAGGAGGCATCGGAAACGACAAACAAAAGTTCTCTCCAGGAAAGAGGAGTTCTCGGGAGGCAGCTGGTCAGGGTTGCACGTTACCAGCGACATACTTGGGGCAGGATCTCCGTCTAAGAGAAACAAAAAAGAACTTGAGACTCTGTAGCATGTCTAGACTTTTTCAACCGGGGTTCATCATTATCCACTAACCACCGTTTCTGTTTTCATCCTTTCTGTTTGCTGTTACCCTTAATTAAAATGGACGTTTTAGTGACCATAACATTTATTTTGCAACTGCAGGAGCTTCCACTAAAGGTCAAACCACCCTCCTCCTCTCATTTTTTCCAAAAAAAAAAAAAAAAGATCTCTCTCTCCTAATTTGAGTGCTGTAAACTATTAATTTGAAGTGCTTTGGGTCTTTTATCATGAATTTGTTATGAATAATCATATCCTTTGGTTTGTTCTTACTAAAATGTCAATGAAACAAAGTACCTTTTATTTTTAAAGCATGTAATTCATCAGTGCATCAAAACATCAACACTACCACATGGTTATTTAATAAAGAAACACTTTTTTGCTAAATTTCAAGGCAAAAATAACCCAATATAGTGGTACCATGATATAAAATTATATATTTCCTGACCTTGTGGGGATTCTTCTGTCTGCGTGCTGGTTGGAGGCGGGTTCAAGGCCCAGTGCAAGTTGCGTCTGAAGGCCTGCTGGTCTTCAGTATGAATGAGTTCGAACATATTTTGATGCATCACATCTGTCTGGGAGACCGAGGGAGAAATGAAGAGGAACGTTGTGAGAGAATTAAGTTAAAATAAATTAAAATGAAAATAAAGGATGAATCACTTTATGGGTTTAAAACGTTTTAGAACCAACTACAAATGTATAAACAACCATTCAAAAGTTTAGGGTCTGTAAGATGCTTTAATATTTTTGAAATGCATTTATTTAATCAAAAATACAGTAAAACAGTAATATTGTAAAATATTATTACAAATTTAAAAAATGACTGATTTCTGTTTCATTATATTTCAAAATGTAATTTATTTCTGTGAAGCAAAGCTGAATCATTACTCCATTCAGCTCCATTCATTACTACATTCAGCATCATTACTCAAGTCTTAAGTGTCACATGATCCTTCAGAAAGCATTCTAATATACTGATTTGGTGCTTAGGAAACATTAGGAAACAGTTGTACTGATTAATATTTTTGTTGAAATTGTGATATAATTTTTTAGGATTCTTTGATGAATAGAAATATAATGCATATTTGCTGAAAGAAAGTATCAATTTCTTTAAAAAACGGTAGTATATGAATACAGAATATACATAGTTCTGAAAAAAAATGTTTAACTTGTATGTAAATACTGTCATATTTTTCATCAATTTTCTTTTCAATTATTACATTTTTACAATGTATTCACTGAAAAATCCCAAGTCTGACAGCATAAACTTCGACCTGCCATCAAACTCCCTCTTTTCTCGTCTAAACACGTTAAACCGAACAAAAAGAGGACATTGTAAGCACATAGAGTAAACAAATATAGTGACGTCTCAGTTGGATAATTCATAAGTAAATTATGATGAATTGGATTACGCCGTGCCAGACTGAATCTCAGAGTAAAGCCTATTTGATTAAGCGCATTCAATTTCTACCGCATTCAAACTGTTGCTCGAGAGATACACTGCAGTATTAATCAGTATTAGGCAGATCTGATGAGCATTTATGTGTGTGTGTGCACTAAGAATGGAGGTGAGAAGTATGCAATGATTATCCGACAGCTGAGTCTGACGTAATATTGATTCTGGGAAAGTGTACGTACAGGGCATACTTATCAATCAGATTAAAACTGTGTCCTGATCGCTGAAAACTCATTACGTCATGCCTGGTTTACCGCATAAGTCGCCCTACTACAAAATAGCCTATTTGCATCAAGAGCAATGTGACAAGTAGCATTTTTTTTTTTACACTTTTTAAAAGATGAACATGTTGAAACAAAATTTTCCAAAATGTTTAATTCCAGTCTAAGTATGTTTAGTGAGGAAATATATAGCAACATCCAATCTCATAATTCATATCCCAAAGATAGTGACTGTAATTCAGCTGTATATTGGATTAGTATTAGAACAGTGGCTATATGATACATATGTTTTTATGTAAGAGACTGTTGAGAAGGATAATTACCTGGTTGAATCCTAAGTAATCCTGGATGGTGTGAGAACAGTAGAAAATGATCCCTTCAGCAGTGACCACCAACACAAAGCCATTGAGAGCCTGTGCCCATAAACAAATGAACAAACAAACTAAAAGTATTAGTTTATTGGTCATATAGAAGGTTATGGGAGCCTGTTTCTGCCACAGAATAAAAAAGGTAATTGCGACTTTTTATCTCAATTTAGACTTGAAGATATAAACTCGGAATTGAGGGAATAAAGTCAGAATTGCTAGATATAAACCCAGAATTCTGCCTTTTTTCTTGAAATTCCAAATTTATAACTCGCAATTTTGACTTTTTCCCTCAGAATTCTAAAATTACATCTCGCAATTCTGTCTTTTTTTTCTCTTGAGTTTACATATTGCAGTTCTCTAATAAAGTCAGAATTGTAAGATATAAACCCAGAATTCTGACTTTTTCCAAGTTTAGATCTCGCAGTTCTTTTTCCCCTCAGAATTCTAAAATTACATCTCTCAATTCTGACTTTTCTGTCTTCCATAGTTGATTGAAAACCTGCTCTTTTAAATGAATCACTACCTTGTTCTCTATTTGCTTTTTAAAGAACTCCAAAATTACTTGACAAGTACAGTTTTCTTTTCTGTGTTGATGATTTCCTATTAAAACAGGAAGTTGGGGCAGAGCATATCAACCTTTTTTTTTTTGAGAAATGTACAATAGTCAATTGTTTAAGTTTCAGTCATAAACTTATGGAAGCCCGTTTCCACCACTAAATAAAAAATAAAACAAGGTAATTGCGACTTTTTATCTCACAATTCTGACTTTTTTTTCTCAGAATTGTGTGATATAAACTAAGCAATTGCGAGTTATAAAGTCAGAATTGCGTGATATAAACTCGCAATTGCAAGTTATAAAGTCAAAATTGCGAGTTATAAAGCGCAATTCTGACTTTATAACTTGCAATTCTGAGAAAAAAATTCATAATTGCGAGATATAAACTCGCAATTGCGAGAAATAAACTCATTTATATCTCACAATTCTGACTTTATAACTCGCAATTACGAGTTTATATCTCGCAATTCTGACTTTATAACTCGCAATTGCAAGTTTGAGTTTATATCTCACAATTCTGACTTTATAACTCGCAATTACGAGTTTATATCTCGCAATTCTGACTTTATAACTCGCAATTACGAGTTTATATCTCGCAATTCTGACTTTAGTCAGAATTGCGAGATATAAAGTCAGAATTGCGAGATTAAAAACTCGCAATTCTGACTTTTTTTCTAGCAATTGCGAGTTTATATCTCGCAATTCTGACTTTATAACTCGCAATTGCGAGTTTATATCTCGCAATTCTGACTTTATAACTCGCAATTGCGAGTTTATATCTCGCAATTCTGACTTTATAACTCGCAATTACGAGTTTATATCTCGCAATTCTGACTTTATAACTCGCAATTGCGAGTTTATATCTCGCAATTCTGACTTTATAACTCGCAATTGTGTGCTATAAAGTCAGAATTGTAAGATATGAACTGAGAAATATTCAAGATCAAGAAAAGATTTTTCTGAGAAAAAAGTCAGAATTGTGAGATAAAAAGTCGCAATTACCTTGTTTTATTTTTTATTCAGTGGCGGAAATGGGCTTCCATATAAACTAAAACAAAGTTTAACTGAAAGGAGAGACATTTTCCCAGAACTGAAATATTGTACATTTTAGTTGCTTACAAGTACTGTTATCTGAGTACTGTACATTAGCATATGACAGCTAACAGATGTGCCTTAAAAGCCACAGAACTCAGTTTCACAGGAACAGGTTTTGCAATTAGGAAACGTTTGATGGAACTGTTCATTAAACAATCATTTTATAAACAAGTTGTCAAGTTTGCAGGGCCGCAAGAAGTTGAGTTACAATAACAATGCCAGACAAAAGACAAAAAACACGACGAAGACTAGAAATACACTGAACGTAACGATTAAACAAGACATATCTGGAATCAGTGAACAATGGCATGAAGAAAGAACTTCACAATAAAAGTTCCCATAATTAAAGATCACTTATTAAAAAAAACAAAAAAAAAACATGAAATGGATTCCCCCTTAACTGGGCAGTTTAATCTAAGAAATATTAGCTATAAATGTGTGATGAATATAAATGGACCATGCTAATTCAGCAAAACCTTGACTGGATATTTAAATATGCAAAATAAATAAATACATACATACATAAATCTGAAAAGGTATTACTATAGATTTTGATGAAAGATTCTAAACACAAGTGCTAAAAAAAGTGCTAAAAACTATTGAGAAAATACATAGTGTCAATTTCATGTTGTCAGTGAACACTGTGTGTGAGTATGCGCTCTTGTTCTGTGTGTATTTTTGTGGAGGGGATTTTGCAGCTCATCACCATATGGTGGGCTCTAAGTGTGGATCTGTGATTATGGTAATCTGACACATCCACAGACAATACAAAAACAACTGTGTATGGCTATACTGAGGAGTCACTGCACAAATCCACCATCGATAAAACCTTTGAGCACTGAGTGTGACCTGGTAATCAGGTTTGGACCAAGTGTGGACAGTCTAGCGTCGGACATTGAAATAAGTACAATGTTTCACTTTTTACAAGTACTTCTTTTGAGAACATTCTTAAAAATATGAAATACATTTATGTTTTGAAATGCTAAATTCTGAAACCTAGGCTAACATTCCATATCATGGAAAAAATACTATTATAAATAAAACGGTTCTTTTAATAACATCAATAATAAGAAAACAAGACAACACAGATTCACAGAACAGTCTCAAAGTGCAGCACTGTACTTCGGTCTGAGTGTAAATAAGGGCTCTCTTGAAATCCTATGAATGTTTTATTTAGGCTGTGCTTGTGTTTGTCTTGGAAACACTTTCTAAATGCAAACTGAACCCTAACATGATATGATAAGGCAACAAGCAATAAATCACTAAATTACCTCATCCACTTTAATCTGTGATCGTCTTTGCCAGATAATACATAATAATGTGCTGCAACATGCCACAAGAATTAATGTGCGTTACCCCATCCTGAATGGTACAGCAGTTTATAGGGTTATATCTTCCAGCGTCCCTCTCATTTGCCTGAACATCTGCATTGTATGCCAACAGGCACACACATGCTCATTCATACATGCACACCTGGTCCAAACACACTCAGAAAACATGGCCGAGTAGCAGCGCTCAGTATAAATATTTCGGCTTGTTGGTTGGCAGAACAGCCCACACGGGGCTCTCGGGGGGGCAGGAGGGGGAGGGAGGATGGCAGTCAGGAAGCATTACTATCAAATATGTACCACTGCATTGTTCACAGTCCAGCACACACAACTATACACAACACAGGGGAGAGAGTGAGTGAGAGAGAAGAGAGAGAGAGAGTATGAAGCAGAGAAACAACAGAGCTAAGATAGATAGATAGATAGATAGACGGACACACACATATAGACAGATAGAATGATAGGAAGGAAGGAAGGAAGATAACAGGAAAAAAGAAAGGACAGGACATGACAGGAAAAAGAAGAAATAGACTGGAAGAATGGAAGTGATATATCGATGGATAGGAAGAAAAGAGGGGAAGAAGGAAGGAAGGAAGGAAAGATAACAGGAAGAAAGAAGGATGGAGCATGACAGGAAGCAAGGAAGAAATAGACAGGAAGGAAGGATTAGATGGGTTGATGGAAAGAAGGAAGGAAGGAAGAAAAGATGGATCAATGGAGAAAAAGAAGGAAGGAAGGAAGGAAGAATGGAAGATAACAGTAATAAAGTAAGGACATGACAGGAAGAAAGGAATAGACAGGGAGGAAGGAAGGAAGAAAAGATGGATCAAAGGATGAAAGGAAGGAAGGAATGATGGAAGATAACAGGAAGAAAGGAAGGACATGACAAGAAGGAAGGAAGGAAAGCGAGACGGAAGGAAGGAAGGAATGAATGAAGAAAAAGACTGGAAGGAAGAAATAGACAGAAAGGATGGAAAAAAGGATGGAAGGAAGGAAGGAAGAAAGATAACAGGAAGGAAGGATGGAGCACAGCAAGAGGGAAGTAAAGAAGGGATGGATTGATGGATGGAATAAAAGAATGAAGGAAAAAAGGAAGGAAGGAAGGAAGAGATGGATCGATAGAAGACCGGAAGTAAGGAAAAACAGACAGGAAGAAAGGAAGGAAGGAGTAAAAGAAGGAAGGAATAGACATAAAGAAAGTAAAAAAAGGAAGGATGAAACAAATATGAATGAAATATAAAGGATAATAGGGACTAGGAGAATGTGAAAGCATTAGTGAGGAAATGAAATGAAATCATATAGACGTGAGTGGACAGGTGGTTCAAACTTCTCTGTCGATGGACAGAGAAAAACTTTCAAAGTAAAAAAAAAAAAAAAGAGAATACTTTTACCTCTTATTTTACCCTTCCTTTATAATACATGAGAGCTCTATCTGTGCATTATTCATGCCTAAGTGTCTGAAACGAGAACAAGGCCGGGCAGAAATAGCCTCTCCTCTTTTCTCCTCCTCGAGGACATCGCTTTAAACGACTCTTTATAACATACTTATGGTACATGGACACCATATAAACACACACACACACACACACACACACACACGTGTTTGTCCTTCTGACCTGTAGTAGGAGCTCTCCCTCATGCGGCCAGCCGTCAACCAATCCTGTTGCTTTAATGTTGTCATGGTTACTGTTGTTTGCCGACAAACCATTGGAGCTGTGGTTTTTCAGAGCGACTGTTGAAAGAAAAAGAGAAAGAAAAATGACATTATGTATGTTGTACAACTATAATTAGTAGTTTTTATTAAGTGAAGCATTACTATTACTACTGTATTTGAACAAACCACTTGCAGAGTTGAAAATTTTCAACTTATGCCGCAAGCAACGGCAGCGCTGTGATGCATCAGACCCACAATTCAGTTCGGCAACGCATGACGTCACCCATTCAAAGTAAACGAGAAGTGTTAACGTGTGAATGCACTGTTATAGCTCAAGAGACTTTGTCTCAGGATGTTTCTACCAAAATTCATTACGGGAAATTCAAACAGACACAAATTAGACATTTGCTGACATTCAATAAGAGTTCAGAAATTAATCAACATGGTTAGCATATGGATAGTTCAACCAAAAATGAAAATTCTGTCATTAATTATTCACCCTCATGTTGTTCTAAACCTGTAGGACCTTCATTCATCTTCGGAAAATAAATTAAGATATTTTTGATGAAATCTGAGCGCTTTCTGACCCTGCATAGACAGCAACGCAACTACCACGTTCAAGGCCCAGAAAGGTACAGTAGTAAGGACATTGTTAAAATAGTCCATGTGACATCTGTGGTTCAACCGTAATTTTATGAAGCTACGAGAATATTGTGTGCAAAGAAAACAAAAATAACTTTATTCAACAATTTCTTCTCTTCCATGTTGCGTTGCTGTCTATGCAGGGTCAGAAAGCTCTCGGATTTCATCAAAAATACCTTAATTTGTTTTCCGAAGATGACCGAAGGTCTTACGGGTTTGGAATGAGGGTGAGTAATTAATAACAATTTTCATTTTTGGGTAAACTATCCCTTTAAGTGGTCAAATATTTGTAGTTATATTGAGATCTCTGACTTTATTACATATTTTACAGAAACTAAGCAGAGTTTGAGACATTGTTGAGAAGAAACACCAAAATCAAACCAAACCAAAGAATCAAACCAAAGTCTCCGTTAGTTCAATTGTTATATTCAGTTAAAATACAGTTTAAAATGCAGTTTTCAAACAGGTTTCCCACACACTCTGCCACTGGTCAGGCAGACAGATAGCCCCGCCCCAAACTCATGCCATTGGCTGAGCTACTGTTGCCGTGCCAGGCTGGTCAGACAAAATAATGTTCTTTTTAGCAGCATCATATGACCCCTTTAAACAAACAGCAATGTTTTGATAGCGCCACAGAAACACAGTGTTTTAAGGATCTCAACCTACAAATAGGTTATTACTTATTAAACTGAGAGGGAAAAAAAGTATTTTAATATCTAAAAATCACTTCAAATGTAATTTAAGGTACTTCATACTTTCTTCTACTTGGTATTCAAAACGCGCTCTAAAAATGAGCTTTTTTCGTCTTGGCCAGTTATGGATTTGCTCTGTGTGGCCCTCTCTCAGGACAAGACAAACTCTGTTGAGCATTAGAGGAGGAACTGATCTACAAACGACAGGGGAAATGGAGAGAGACAGGCCAGGCCAGGCCAGGCGAACGGGGATATGAAAAGCTTTTTCACTGACAGAGAGAAAGAGAGACAGAAAGAGAGTGAGACAGAAAAGGAAAAGAGGAAGCACTTTTCACTTGTGAGAACATACGTGGAAAACGCATTTGGGCACGAGAGAAAGGTCGACATATGCAATGTGTCATATTTTATTAGCATCTTGTAGCTGATATTAAAACTGTGAAGTGCTCAGCACAGTTTCGAACATTTGTTTGTTGTCATCATCCAAAAAGGTCCACAATAGCTGAACTACAATTTGCGCCAATTATTTCCACAACCATAAACTCACTGAAGCAAATGCCTCTAGATGTCATAAAAACTAGCGTTTGATGATTATATGTGGCTCCTTTTATTCTCCTTCGGAAACCTCTGACCCTTTTAATAGTCCTGCTGCGTGACCTATCGTGACCCCTGACCACTGTCGAGACATGATGCAATGAGGGACAAAGAGGTTTGCAATTTTTTGTTTTATAATTTATTTTTATTATTTAGATATTTAATTACAATACATTTCAAATGTAAAATTTTACAATAACAAATGTATTTTAATTTTTTAAAATTGTTTTGTCTATAATTACTATATAATTAAAACAAAAATATAATTAAGATAAAAAAAAATCTATATTATTAAAAAATAGTTTTGTTTAAAAATAAAGGGTAAAAATAGTTTACATAATTCGTCTGAACCAGTTAATCCCTTCATAATAAAGTGGTTAGACCACCACGGCTTTAGTCTGTTTCCCATTTACCGTTCAAAAACCTCACAATGTACTCTGTTGCAACATGAAATAAGCGTGACCAATATCAGTGTTTACATACGCCACGGGTGTCAAACTCATTTAACCCCAACTCATTGGAGTTCAAAGGCTGCGTTGAACAAAACATCGCATTAGGGGGGCCACAACAATTTTTCTAAACATTTATGATTTTTGTTAAACCTCGGTGCCCCCATGGAGAACTCATGCTCTTCTGGAGCAAATAAAGTCCAGAATCAACTTTAAAGGGGTAGTTCACCCAAAAATTTAAATTCTGTCATTAATGCGCATAAATGCACATCGCAGAGCTTGTGGAAGACGAGCATTTGTGGTTAAAAGTGTATAAATATAATTTTTTTTAAGAAAATGACCAATCGTTTCGCTAAATAAGACACTTATTCCTCGGCTGGGATGATGTAGAGCCCTTTCAAGCTGCAATGAAACTGCAATTTGGACTAGAGCCCGACCGATATATAGTTTAGCCGATATTATCGGCCGATATGAGCCTGTCACCGATATATCGGTATCGGCAAATATGCCGCCGATATGCTACTTTTTTTTTTTACAGAACATATAACGCAGATTAAATGCTTCTGAATGGTGTAATTACTTAGTTTGTCCAGCAGAGCGCGCTCCATTGTTTGCTACTGGACCCAGGTCAGTGTAGTGTAGAGATGCGCGGATGAGCTCAAACTTCACCCGAGTCCACTGCTTCAAATTATCCGCCCGTCACCCACCCGCACCTATATTTGATGGTCACATTACAATGATTCTAATTCTTTGTTTGCATGATGATATGATGAATGGATGGTTCATTTTAACAACAGATTCAGTGACGTTAGAGACTAGAGCTGATCTGTGCTTCACGGCACGCGTCTGCGGCGCATTAAAGCCTGTGTTACGGCCACCGGAGCTGATCGCGGCCACTCAATACCGGTGTTTACCGGGCGAGCCGCGGCCCAGAACTCATGCTTATCACATCGGCCCCCAAAAACCCATATCGGTCGGGCTCTAATTTGGACCCATTGAGCACCATTGAAGTCCACTATATGGAGAATTTTTGTGACTGAAGAAAGAAAGACATGAACATCTTGGATGACATGGGGGTGAGTAAATTATCAGGAAAATTTTATTCTGGAAGTGAACTTCTCCTTTAATTACTCACCCTCATGTCGTTCCAAACCCGTAAGACCTTTGTTCATCATCGGAACACAAATTAAGATATTTTTGATCAAATCCGAGAGCTTTCTGACCCTCCATAGACAGCAAGGGTACTACCACGATCAAGGCACAGAAACATAGCAAGGACATAGTTAAAATAGTCCATGTCACATTAGTGGTTCAATCGTAATTTTATGAAGCTACGAGAATAATTTTTGTGCGCAAAGAAAACAAAAATAACTTTATTCAACAATTCTTCTCCTCCCCATCCTGTCTGCCGCAGCATGCCACCATTGTGGAGAGTATCACGATGCATGCGCATGCTTTCATCTGCATGTAAACAACGCATGCGCATGCTGCTGCTAACGTTGAACACACATTGTTTACATGCACAAAAAGTAAAAGAACAAAAGTACAAAAAGTATTCTCGTAGTTTCATAAAATTATGGTTGAACCACTGATGTCACATGGACTATTTTAATGATGTCCTTGCTACCTTTTTGGGTCTTGAACGTGGTAGTTGCATTGCTGTCTATGGATTCTCGGATTTCATCAAAAATATCTTAATTTGTGTTTCAAGGATGAACGAAGGTCTTATGGGTTTGGAACGACATTAGGGTGAGTAATTAATGACAGAATTTTCATTTTTGGGTGAACTATCCTTTTAACATTTTGCCAAGGCAGCCATTTTGACCTAGCGCAATTGAATGTTCACAAGCAATCTTGTTCACAGGGCATAAGCACACTTACCTATATAAAGTAGCTACCTGTCAGTCACTCAAATGTTTTTAGCATAGCATATTTGAGAAGATTAGGCTTTGTTATGAAATAGCAAGCAGCAGTTAGCGCTGAAAATAGGAGGCTAAGAGCATTTCAGTGCCCCTGACAATCCTTCTTATATGCTTCAAAGAGAGACGGGATGTTTAAGGCCCCTTTCCCATGATCTTTAGCTCCTGTCTCATAGAGCTGGAGACAAAGGGTGAAGGGCCACGGCAAAACTGAGACCCAACTCTGCACGCAACTACATATGCATGTATGCCAATGACACTGTGTCACATACATAAACAAATGAGCAACAAAAACATGAAAGAACCCAAAATCAAAATAATAACAATAATAATAAAAAGTGAAGCAAAAATCGTAAATAAAAACAAAGCATAATAATACATAAAATAAATGATAAATAAAAATATTATAATAAAAAATATTTAAAAAGTTTTCTTTTTATACAAAATGTTTAATATATATCCTTAGCATATTTATAAGACCATTACATATTCTTGAAATGGTCTTAAAGGCTTTATTTTCTTAAAGGCATTCTTAATGTTCGCTGTAAGTGCTTGAAATTAATATAGCCGATTGTCATCATACATCAGGTGACAGATGAGTTAGTGAAATGAGTTAGGTTTCCGGGCTTGTCCGCATGCTCGTGCTGTGGGGTTTTTACTGTGTCTATGTAGCTGTGCCGTTGTGGGTCACTGCACATCACACCCCTGAGCGTGCAGCATCTCTGGGGACGGAGGCTCTGGAAAACCTGCGCTAAATGTTTTGGCTTGATTTCTTGTGGGTTTAC